CGGGAGTCGACAATGTGTAAAGTCGCGTCTAGGGGTCGTGGGACCTGTGTGTACCTACGTATTCCTAAATAAAGTTGAATCACAAACCAAGCTGAGGGAAATTAATTAATTCTTATATGAATTCTAAAAATTAAAAATATACCATGAGTGGCCTTTACTCTAAACTCAGTGGCGCGACAGCCCATAGAGGGCCAATGCCTACTGTGCCCATCTCAGTTTTCTTGACCTTGGGCTCTGGGGTGCAGAAGCAGATGTTCCGGTTAGGTGGTCAGCCGAACGCGAAAACCCCCAGTGTTTAGTTCCCAAGCATGCTTGGTACTCATTTATCGACCCACTGAAGGGATGAGTGGCCTTTACACAAGATTTAAATCTCAGAACTTCCCTGACCTATGCAACATACTTTACTACATAGGCCAACTATGAACGTAATTAAAACGCCTTCGTATGCTGATGAGCAAACGGTACTATGGATCAAGTTTGGTGAGAAAAAAATATATTTATAGAAAACAAAATTTAACTCAAAAGTCACTTATCTTTTAACCATTGATTTTTTTTCTTACATATTATACTCAGATAAAACTTTTTTTTAGTTGTGCTATAAACTGAATCTGGTGTAAGAGAACAAAAAGAAAAGGTTTAAAAATTCCAAGAGCTCATCTGAATTGTGAGATCTGTGTATACCTGTCTTTCTTAAAGAGAATTTTTTTATTATCTAAAATTATAAAGTTTTAAAAATTACAAAAGGATACTAAGAGAAACCTAATATTTGGTATAGCCTAATTAGGTGTGAAAAAATGGAGGGAAAGGGAGGTGTTTTGAAAAAAAATGGATTTTTTAAAGTTATTTAGAGATAATATCATGACAAAACCTAGATTCGAGGCTGGGGAGCCTTTTCAGCCAAAATGAAATATTTTACCAAGTATAAGAAAATATTTCCTAAAATATTTATCTTAAAATTCGTAAATTAAAATTATTTTTCTGGAATATTTCAGTCGAAAAAAAAGAGAAGAAAGAAGTTTAACTTTAGTATAACTTTATTTAGTTTGCACTAGAGCTGTACAATGAGCTACTGGGCGACCGTATGCGAAACATCCCCGAGGATGATCCAAAGGCATACCATCACAATTCTAATCCAATGCAGAACGAATGGCTCCCCCGTTTTGTTGCGTAAGGTGGCATTCTACTTCCGCTATTACCCGTTTTTTGCTCCAGCCTCTTGCTTCCTTCTTTCACGATTTGCTCTATTTTTAATAGTTATTTAGAATACTGACCTCAGGGATGTTTCCCAGACCGTCGCCAATAGCCCATTGTGAGTTCTAGTGCGACGTAAATGAACTACAACAACAACATTTAGAATACTGACATAGTTGAATGCAAAATATTGATGATTTTTCTTTTAACCCTTTGCTTACGGCTGGTACAATAAGTGAACCAGAATGGCTTCATCATGCTAAGCGTCGTAAGCAAAAGGTTAAACAGAAATCACATCAATAAGAAATCATATCAAGTAGAGTTAACCCTTTGTTTACGGCTGGCACAATAACAGAACCAGACTGGCTTCATCATGTTAAGCGCCGTAAGCAAAAGGTTAATATGGATGGTTTTACTTAGATTGATTTATAATGTGCCGCATTGAATTTAGGTCCACGTGAACTAATCGTAACACACGATTCTTAGTAAATCACTGAAGTCAAGCATCACTGACAGTGGAACGAGAATGGGGTAGGAACGAGCGAGGAGAACTGCAAAGAGAACGAGAGTGCGTGGTATCGGAGTGGTTTTAATTGCTCTACGGTAAAGTGCTCGACCCTGCGATGGTCATTGGGCTATCAAAGCGGAGGACCCATTCAAATTATCCATCAGCCCATTGTGGAACTCTAGAGCGACCTGAATAAAGTACTAGTATTGCTACTACTGTTATTGAATTTATCAGACTAGCCTCTGAAGGTAATTTGTAATATCTCAGGTTATAATTAATATACTTCTCGCCTCCTTTCTCAGGACCCAAATGGGAAAATGCAGCAAAACTTGATTGGTCCAAGGAATTCACGTTGTATATAGTGAGAATAGTTCCTAAGAAACTAATTCGGTTAAAGCTAGAAGCTAATCAGTACTTTGTAGTAAATGATATCTACTCTGATGTGCCAGAAACGGAGTGTCTATTGCACCGATTATCGGCGCAGTAAAATTCATTTTGCTATCTTACCGATCAAATTTTTAACCAATCATAGAGCGTATCTGTCCACGTGACTCTCCGATTTTTTTTTCAAAAATAATTTAGCTCTGTTTATCGTAGTCAAGGCAGCTACAATTTTTGTAGCATCTTGATTTTCTTCATATGAAGAATAACAAATAGCCATTCATGAATTTGAAAAAGAAAAAAGGACGATCTTCTGGAAGAGAGAAGCGAAAACTTTACAAAATGCTTCAAAGAAATTTAAAAAATTTGATAAGGCTCCGCTGGAATTGAAATACACATGGTGGAAGAATTCATTAAAAAAAATGTACAGATAACAGTCGCCAATCCAAGTAAGTAAATTTTGTATTGTTTAATTAATTTTTAAAATGTGTTATTTNACTCACTAATACATATACAGTGATACCTCGAGATACGAGTTTAATTCATTCCCTAACCTTGCTCGTATCTCAAAGCAATTTTGCCCATTGAAATGCCATTAATCCGTTCCGTCCCCAAAAATGCTACCCTCAATTGTTTTTGTTGTGTGTTTTTGAATAAGAAAAATGTATTTATAAATGACAAATACTATATAAAAACATAATAAAAGAGATTGTAAAGCAGAAAAAATTGCTTTTATAAAGTGTACATGCATATTTGTATTTTGGTTACTTAAATGCAACTTACACACAACTTAAATGCTACTATATGCTTAATTTTAGTCACTGCTTTTCTCTTCACTGGTCTTTGCTTTTTTAGCCAGATTTAAAAACTGTCCAAGGAGGTTTGTTTCTTCCTTTTCAGAATGCTGCAGAAATGAGTTAGGCAAGTCTCATTAAATAACTCCGATGTAAGACCAGTTTCAACTTTTTCGGGGTGTTTCTTTTCCACGAACTGTGAAATTCTCTTCCACATTCCCAAGAATTCTTTTATCTCATTTGTAGAGATAACCTCCTCCACCTCTGGTTCTTCTCTGAAACCAATTTCTTGCAGTACGCCCGAATGCTCACCCATCACCAGGTCCATGGATTTTCTCAGAGGCACAATCTCCTCCTCCGCTGGCACTTCGAGTTCGAATCCTTCAAAGCTACGGACTTAGCCGACAGCACAATTTTCGGCTATAGACTTCGAGGCTCGGTGGGTGAACGGGAGCATTGTCGAGGACGAGAAGGGCTTGCAAGGCCATTCCTCGTATCTCAAATAACTCGTATGTAAGGGCATTCGTATCTCAAGGTACCACTGTATTTGAATCTTTTTTATTGTTAAAGACACAATTTTTAACTCTAACATTATAAAATATAAATGCAACAATAATGTGAAAGGAACAAGTATATTAATCTTGCATTAAAACAATTTCAATTTGGTCAGATTTATTATTTTCCCTTCCTTAGCTTTTCTAACTGCACAATTTAGCAAATGAGATTACAATACACAATTTAGCAATTCTTTCTAAAATTAAAAAAAAATTTTCTTTTTTTTTGTTTTGTTTTGCATATTTAAAAAAAAATCACTCATTAAATGGCCCAAAAATTAATTCTATTATTTATGCCGGGTTCCCATCGTCCTTAAAAACTACTTTATTTTTATTTTAGCAATTTTTATCTTCTGCAATGATTTCTTTTATCTAGCTTTTTTTTTTCTTAAAATATTTTATATTTTTAGGTTTAACGACAAAAGTTGTTGGTTTGAAGAGGAAGAAAGGTAATAGGCCCACTCCTTTTACAAGAAAAGCAGTTTTGGAGGGAAAAAAATATGCTTATGAACTGCTTTGTAGATGAAGAGACATTATCGAAGACCATAAATAAAGGCATTTTGAAGAAGAAGCTGCTATAGAATGTGGTATAGAGAAGGTTTCTTCTTGTATGGAATCATGTGTTGAAATTAATGAAGTGAAGCTGTTCTTTACTTCTGATGGGTGGCTATTGGTTAAAAATGTGATTTTACAAAATCGAGAATGATGACATGGGAATGTTATTCATGCAAACAAGATTGCGGTATGGTGATACTATTTTGTGCGACTCTTATTCGCAGTGGTATCACTATTCCTGTGTCGGCCCTCTGCAGCCTCCAGAGCAAAAGTATTGTTCAAAATCTAAACTTTTTAGACTTTTTTTTTTTAGCTTATTTTGATTTTCTTCCTGTGAGATATATTTTGAATAGATATTTGTCATGTGTAAGCCAATTTTGAATAAATATTTGTCATGTGTAAGCCAACTTTATATTTTTTTTAATTCTGAAACAAACTTTATTTCTTAATTAGTAATTTTTATTGCTTTTTTTTAAAAAAAAATATTTGTTTAACCATTGTCAAATTTCAAGTGAATGTCCACATAAAAACTCATCATTTATCTTTCATTATTAATTTCTGATGGACTTCAATGACATAAATTTTCCCACCAAGATGTTAAATAATTAAGTTTCTAGGTATAGGTGTTACCTATTTTGATAGAATAGTACTTTACTTTCAATAAATTTGCATTCAGAATGTTCCTTTTAACTGTAATTTATGTAGTATATGTTTCTTTCAACTTTGTGATTGCTTGCTTCTAATCCTAATTGTATAAATTTATATTTAGTTTTTTAAATCTGCTACATTTTTGTCCAATAAAAGTTTAGTTTCTTCCTGCATTTGTGTTTAATGAAATTTTGATAATATACAAGACAGAGCTCACTAAATGTAAATTAGTAGGTTTTGTATTTATAGAAATGTTTCGAGAATAAATTTTTAAAAAATCTACTCCTTTCTTTCCTACACTTAATCTTTAAATATTGATTATAAAATTCCTATTTATCAACTTCCTCTGTTTTACTTTGAAAATTATCTTTTATATTTGATTCTTAATTTAAATAAGTGGAACTTAAAAAATTTTAACCTCCACAACATATGTATAATATCAAACATATATAGTAGTACCAAACATGATATTACTTTGATACAGGCGCTGAAAAAATTAAATCGTATTTAATTAATTTTAAATCTTAAATGACAATACAAATAAATCTGAGTTACTTAAGATTCCAGCAGTTTATCTTCACACAATCTTATTTTTTAACTTATTTTTGTGTCTACTCCAGGTTAGTGAAAGGACATTTTATACTTTGTCCCAGGTTCAAAAAACAAGTGCTTTGAATTTCTCAAGAAATACTTAAAGGATTATTTTGTAACTTTGAAGATGTTTAGTTTTTTGCGCATCAGACACAGATCTATAGCAATTCAGTTGAAATTTGAGACTTCTACCCGTAAGGCAGAAAAAATTCTAAATTTATTTACAATAATTCTCTTAAGTGGTAAAGTGACAAATTTAGCTTTCAGTGGTCCAAAAGTAATCGTAACTTGTTTTGTCAATAGTCAGAGCTGATTACGCTCTGGAAAAATCCCGGATTTTTCGCTAACAGTGATCCTAAGATCGAAGGTTCAGACGTTTCAAAAAATCATTCATCACAGAAGTTTCTGGAAATCAAATTTTCAAAGGCGAAACTTAAAAACACAGTTTATTTTATTTGTTTGTAAGGGAGAACCAGATACTTTATAAGCTTATATTCCTGATAAATATTTATTTTTTATTAGTAAATGGTTATTATAATCATAAACTCAAGAAAAACATACAGTAAAACCTTTTTTTGTGCGTTGGATAGGGACCGCATAAAAGAAATCATACAAAAAAATTATAAGTTATTACGTATAACAAACAACTTTGCACGATATAGTACCTAAAAAAAAATTTTTATGCGGTGGTTAGGGACCGCATAAAAAAAGTTGGACTTAAAAAAAATACATCAATGATTTATGAGAGAATGCTTTCAATTAAATTAGACCTAAAGAAATTTTAAAAATAAATAATTCTTCATTGTCCATATACATGGAGAAGTTTTCAAATTATGCGTTAAATAGTTTGCTGCTACTCGTCGTAAGCAAAACGTGCATCTTCTGAAATGGTTAACAATAGCTTGAAGATAGGATTTCAATTGATTTGTTTCTTAGTACCATAATATCGGTGATCAGTTTTATGACGACGGTC